ATGCATCAGGTGCCTGCCTGGGTTACAATCCATTTCGCAGCACACCAAGCACTTTTAAGGTTAGGGGCACTATCAACACAACTCATCCATGCATTACAAACCTAGTATGACAGATCCAAAGGTCTACACCATGTATTCTGCTGAACTGTTCTCCTTTCACAGTTAGGTTATACTTAGTCTGGCTGTCCATGTTGACCCTTTTTCATAGGTGATTCATCATTTGTCTCTGATAAGCTTCATGCATACTACACTTGTTGTATGAAGAAACTACTCAGTAATACAACAATCTAAACATCAGAATTCTAACTAACATTGCATGAGAAGGATGGAACTTCAACATTAGCAGGTTCCCCTGCTCAGCATTCCCAACATCCACTTCTTCCTTTGACAGTTGTGCTTAGGTACTCACCACTTCATACAGTACTGTGACTGGCTGTTTCCCAACGTTTCCTGCAAGCTGCTATCTAGGTCTCACAGCAGGGGAAAGAAAAGTATTGCAGTAATTGCTATACACTAACCTTGTTTGGCTAAACCATTTGATGGTGTTTATGAAGCACATGATTAGTCAGAGAACAGCTGAGAACATATTGGAATAGATGTTGTTAGTTGTTGTTAGTTGTGAAGTCTTGTCTGACCCATGGCCACCCGATGGACAACATTCCACCAGGCCTTCCTGTCCTCTACCGTCTTCTGGAGTCCATTTAAGCTCATGCCGACTGTTTCAGTGACTCCCTCCAGCCACCTCATTCTCTGTTGTCCCCTTCTATTGCCCTCAATCTTTCCCAGCATTAGGCTCTTCTCCAGTGAGTCCTTTCTTCTCATTAGGTGGCCAAAGTATTTGAATTTCATCTTCAGGATCTGGCCTTCTAAAGAGCAGTCAGAGTTGATCTCCTCTAGGACTGACCGGTTTGATTGCCTTGCAGTCCAAGGGACTTGCAGGAGTCTTCTCCAGCACCAAAGTTCAAAGGCCTCAATTCTTTGGCGCTCAGCCCTTCTTATGGTCCAACTTTCACAGCTATACATTGCAACTGAGAAAACCATAGCCTTGACTATACACACTTTTGTTGGCAGGTTGATGTCTCTGCTTTTTAGTATGCTGTCTAGATTTGCCATAGCTTTCCTCCCCAGGAGCAAGTGTCTTTTAATTTCTTGACTGAAGTGTCCAACTGCGATGATCTTGGAGCCCAGGAAAATAAAATGTCACTACCTCCATTTCTTCCCCATCTATTTACCAAGAATTGAGAGGGCCAGATGCCATGATCTTAGTTTCCTTAATGTTGAGTTTCAAACCAACTTTTTGCACTTTCCTTCTTTACCCGCATCAAGAGGCTTAGTTCCTCTTCACTTTCTGCCATTAAAGTGGCATCGTCTGCATATCTGAGGTTGTTGGTATTTCTCCCGGCAATCTTAATTCTAACTTTTGATTTATCTAGCCCCATCTTTCTCATGATGTGCTGTGCATATAAGTTAAATAGGCAGGGCGACAGTATACAACCTTGCTGGACTCCTTTCCCAATTTTGAACCAATCAGTGGTTCCGTGTCCAGTTCCAACTGTTGCTTCTTGACCCGCATATAGGTTTCTCAAGAGACAAATAAGATGGTCTGGTACTTCCATCTCTTTAAGAACTTGCCACAGTTTGTTGTGATTCACACAATCAAAGGCTTTAGCATAATCAATGAAGCAGAGACTGTAGATGTTTTTCTGGAACTCCCTAGCTTTCTCCATGATCCAGCATATGTTGCCAATTTGATCTCTATTTCCTCTGCCTCTTCGAAATCCTGCCTGTACTTCTGGTAGTTCTCGATCCACACACTGCTGGAGCCTAGGTTGTAGGATTTTAAGCATAACTTTACTAGCATGTGAAATGAATGTAATGGTGTGATAGTTTGAACATTCTTTGGCATTGCCTTTCTTTGGAATTGGAATGTAAACTGACCTTTTCCAATCCTGTGGCCACTGTTGTTTTCCAAATTTGCTGGCAAATTGGGTGTAGCACTTTTATTGTATCGTCTTTTAAGATTTTGAATAGCTCAGCTGGAATACTATCACCTCCACTAGCTTTGTTGTTGCTCAGATTTCCTAAGGCCCATTTCACTTCACATTCTAGAATGTCTGGTTTGAAGTCAGTGACCACCCCATCGTGGTTATCAGGGATGTTAATCTCGTTCTTTTTTTTTTTTGAAAACAATTTTTTTGATTTTCTACAAACAAACAAGACAAACAAAACATTAAAACATCAACTCTCTTATGTACGTACAGTGTGTCGGTTGGTTCATCAGTTTTGTGCATTCATTTCGTAGTCTCAATTACAGTTATGTTACATAACTCATATTGTCAATCCAAACTTATATATCCTAATATCGCTATTAATAAATCATTTGACTATACTTTTAATCATTCATGCTTTATGAGATAACAATACTTTAAACAGTTTATTCTATAACAAATCATATAATCATACCAAATCTATCCTAAAAACACTTTATAGATATAATGTCAAATAACATAAGCAAAAGAAAAAATAAAAGTATTCCTTGCTAATTTTCTAAATATTCTATTATCGTATTTTGTCATCTAGCCACTGATAAAAAAGACCCCAAATTTCATAAAATTGTTTATCCTCTTGTTCTCTAATTTCAAATGTCAATCTACTCATCTCAGCACATTCCAATATTTTCTTAATAATTTCTTCCTGTGATGGTATTTTCTCATTCTTCCAGTTTTTAGCAAATACAATCCTAGCCGCTGTTAATACATTTACGATCAGATATTTCAAATCTTTACTATATGTATCTGGTAAGATTCCCAATAAAAAAAAACTCCGGTTTCAAATCTATACGTTTCTTTGTCATTTTTTCCAACCACATGCGAATTTTAGTCCAATATTTTTTAGCGTCCTCACAAGTCCACCACATATGGTAATATGAGCCAGGTATCTGATGACATTTCCAGCATTTTTCAGATTTGTTCTTGAACATTCTTGCTATTCTTGTCGGGGGAAAGTGCCACCTGTAAAACATCTTATACAAATTTTCTTTATATGCTGTTGACAGGGATGTTAATCTCATTCTTGTGTAGTTCTTCTGTGTAATTTTGCCACCTCTTATTAATCTCTTCTGCCTCTGTTAGGTCCCTGCCATTTTGGTCCTTTATCATGCCCATCTTTCCATGTATATAGAATATATATAAACTGGCAAAATTCAAGTTGCATTTCTGGTCTTTCAACCATCTGCAAAATTATGTTTGGGGAAGAGAGCTGTAAACTGTCCCAATTACTCTGTAATGCTGTGTTCCCACACACACCAGTGGTTGAAAGCAGCCCAGTAGATGGTTTCCTGTGGAAAACAGGTGTCCTCTCAGTCCAACAGTAAAAACCACAAAGGCTCTGCAGGCAATCTGCCCGGTAACCAGATAAGATGCAAGTCAATGAGCTTGTAGTAACTAAGAGCAGCTGGCTAGAGATCCCATCCAATAGAGAATAAGGAAGATGACGTTAGTGAAGATAAACAGGCCCTTTGCCTAGGCAACAGAACCTGCATATATCCCTCAAGGCCATCTTCCTTACCCTCTACATACCTCCTGGCCATAACATTAACATGAAAGCCTTTGAAGTGGCACATACCATGCAGTTAACAGTACTTATCCCAGTTGAACTTGCCACTTCAGCTTCAGTTCAAAACTTAGGAAGCTGGTTGGCCTTGGCTGGGATGAAAAGAAGACTGTCATGCAGAATTAGGGAGATGCCTGGATACAAACACAAGTCTTTGTATTTCCCTCAAGTTTCACCTTTTTACTTTGGTATTTTTCACCAAATGCATATCAAGGAAAATCTTTTGATGAGGCTTTCTTTGAAATTGCTCAGCTTTCTTTTACCAGACATCCTTTCATGCTTTTCCACCAATTCAGCCTTCTGCTTTCTTTTCAGGGGGGGGGGGGGGGGGGGGGGGGGGGGGGGGGGCAGAGGGGATGTCTTGAGAGAGAGTGAGTCAAAAAAAGTCAAAATAGCAGCCAACCATGAAACTGAAGTCCTGCTCCTTTCTTATCTGCACTACTCTTTCTGGACACTTCAGAACTTTTTAGAAAAAAAACTATGATAAACCAATTATCTCTTAAGAATGAAAATGTGATGTTTTTGGATTTTTAAATGTCCATTTGGAAGTATCCTGGGGGATAGGGAAGAGTTGTATTACTTGTTCTGACTTACAGGTTAAATGCTGCTAACTGTAAGGTGCAGTAAGATTCCACTCCTTGGAGATTCCTTCTGATAAAAGACACACAGAACTGCTAATTTTCAGAACTACTGCTCTGGGAATTAAGACAATAATACCCTGTTGTCTGGTTTCCAGATAAAACTTTCATTTCATTCCTATATCTGTTTTCATATATTGTATTCGGCTCAGTGTCCGGAAATGGAGTGGCCTATAAACCGTAGCAATAAGTACCTAATTGCTTTCCCGTTCCGTGCTCTGCATTCAGATTCATTAACTTGGTCGAGCTTTACGGTACTTCTGAATTGATAGTAGAGGCTTAGAGCCGCCTCCTTAAAATTAGCGACACACAATTTTGAATAACTGTACCCAGGAACAGGCAGATGTCCAAAACTTTTCAGCATCGCCATCCTACGGTATGTAGAGATGGGAATCGCACTCTTAACCTACCCAGTTAACATCACCATTGAGTCCAATTGCTAATGCTGTAACCTGGCAATACATTCAGATTTACTCGGGAGAAAGTATTGCCCTGGAATATATTTCCGTATAAACACGCCTGGTGGTCAAACGCACAATTCGCGTTGCACAAGAAAAGGAAACCATCAAATTTGACCACACAACTTCGCAATAGCCGGAGAGACAACCGGCGCACGCGCGCCTCAGCCACTCGTCTGAACAAATTGAACGACCCCGCCTCCGCGAAGACCCCAGCCAGCCAGCCGCGCCTCCCAAAGAGGGCGGAACTGGAGAGCTTTTGCGCATGCGGGTGAGGCCAGGCTTTTGAGCTGGCGCTTGTCCCGTCGCAGGCTCCGGCTTTCTTCGGAGGGGGGAGGCGGGGTTAGGCCTCCGGAGCGGCTTTCTCTCTCCCTCTCGTGTCCGGGGCCTGAGCGGGAATTCATCGGCGAGGCTTCTTCTTTCGATTCCCGGGCTGCCCCGTTTGGAAGAGGGCGCTGGTAAGTTACTCTCCTCCCCGCGCCTCCTTGTCCTTCCTCTGTCTTCAGGGTTCACCTTTCTACTTCCCTGAAAAAAAAAGTTATGCCCGGCGGGCGAAGACCTCTTCTCCGGTGCCCGTCGTGCTGGGCTCGGCTCGTCCCCCTTCTGGTGGCGTGGCCGTGGCCGTATTCGGCGGAAGAAGGGGGCTCTGCTTCCTCGCCCCCTTCTTCTAGACTGGCTCGGTCGATCTTCAGCGGGTCGCTCACCTGGCGTCTTCCTCCCTCTGCTTTCTTTGTCCGCACCTGCGGTCTTTTGTTTCCTTTCCGTGGAACTTTTTGTTTTCTAAGGAGGAAAACGTACCCGGCTCTCTTTATTTATTCCCAAGTATGGTTGGCACGCGCAAGACTTTGATTTGGGGGGATTTAATGATCAGGGATGATTTTTTTTTTTAAAGGATCTCTACGGTATACGAACAATGGCTGAGCAGCAGCTGCAATTGTTCAGGAAACTTTTTCGGATGTCAAATCAAGGGGGGAAAAACACGTTAGTGTTTTCTGAATATCCCTTCAAAGACTCTTTTGGGTCGAACCAAGGAGAAATTTAGATTGCATTCTACGCAACTTCATATCATTTCTTGTAAAGAGTACTGAAGGTGGTTCCAGGCACAGGAACTGCATTATTCATACTGCTTTTAAGTACGTCTTAAGTACTGGCAGCTTTGCAACCAATTCTGCCTTTGCTACCTTTAACTTCCAGTAATTTGAGTAATCTTTTGCCTGTTGTTTTAAAGAAAGAATGAGGCAGCTAAACATTATTCAGTGACATAAATACTGCATGTCTTTCTGCCTTGTTTATAACTCCGGTTTAAAAAAAAAAAAAGAGGAAGTCCAGTGTGTGAAATTATTTTGTAACAATATGGTCTTCTAATGTGCTTCCAGTTTGGATTACTACTTGTTATTGTATTGCATTTCTGTGTGTTCAGTATGAATGTTTCCTTCAATTAAGCATAAAGAATGTAAAGAACCTAGCCTCAAAATCTGTTTATTTTTCTTCCCCTCTCCTAAAGTAATTATGGCAATGACGGGTCCAGCACCTTGTTCATCTATGAGTAACCATACTAAGGAGCGAGTTACAATGACAAAAGTGACATTAGAAAACTTCTACAGTAATCTGATTGCCCAGCATGAAGAAAGAGAAATGAGGTAAAATATTGTTATATGAATATGGGATACTTTCTTAATTTCAAGATTAAAAAACTTGAATGCCTCAAGTGCACTGATCTTTAATTATGCTTAACAGTTTTTGTAATGTTTCTTTAAAATGCCCAACAGTAAATATTTATTGACTACCCACTGGTGTCTGCTTTATGAAAATGAGTGGAAAGTTTTTCCTGAATTAAAAGCTGTTTTTCTTCCCCTAGCTGAATGTTTTCTTTCTTTTGATTTCAGGGTGTCCAGTATAAACATAACTTGTGTTGCGAAATATGCTTGGCTTGATTGAGCATGATAATCAAAACCAGCCTTTCTAAGTACTTTTTTTGTCTTCCCTGCAAATCTCACCCTTTAAATCATATGTTTTTATTTTTAAAAAACTTCTTTCTGCTCTGAGTAGTCAGGAAAGTCCTTAGCAGCTTTCTGTATTTCTTTAGATAGCTGTCAGAAAATACTTTTTTGTAAATGCATTCCAGTACATACACATTTTATTTCATTTGCGGTATTTAATATATCAAATTTCAGTTTAGAAGTTATTGCATAAAACCATAAAACATTTTTAAAAGAGCACTAGGAACAGTAGAGAAGCACAATATTAAATATAGTAGTTGGGAAAGTAAGTATAGACAATGCAAAACTCCTTGAGGTGTCAATATAACAGCAGCCCCCAATCTTTTGAGCTCCAGGGACTGGTTCCATGGAAGGCATGGTTTTTCCTGTGGACTAGGGGGCATGATTTTACACACTGCTTGGATTGTGTGCATGCATGCATGAAACTTGCCTGGTTCCTGGTCGACCACAGACCCATGTTGGTCCATGGCCTGGAGAGTGGGGTCCCCTGAAATATGATACTGGATGTGATGTTGGTCATCACATCCTTTACTCCAAAGATGGGGAGGAAGGCCCATAAAGAATACTTCCTAATGAAGGGGGAATTCTTAAGGTAAGTGTGTGTTGAGCTACTTAAATTAGCTCAATAAATTAATATAATTAAATTTTATTGTTGGAAGAATAATAGATTAAGTTTTCAGATTGTGGGGGAGTAGAAGAGAGTAACAATAATTAAGATGCAATGGATGAGCCTGTTTTTGGCTTATCTCATAAATGGTAATTAAGCCCTGGTGAAAAGAAAGCAGAACTATTTCGGATTATTGAGAGCAACTCTGATTTAATTAACCTTTTTAAACCAAGGCTGGGAATTTATAAATTGCATCAGATTCTAGAATTCATTTGTAAGTTTGATTAACATAATCAAGTAACTTGATAGAAACTTAAGATTCTATGTTTAAAAAACTTAAGATAGTATGCTGTTGATATAGGAGTTGTAATAAAATGAGATGGCAGTAGAAATATCTGCGAAATCATTGAGTGCATGAAATTGTTCTAAACTCCAGGGTTTTCAGATTGTTACTGAAACGCTACACAAAACACTAATTTTTACAATGTAATACAAACATTTCCACATTTTGCTCAACTCTGCTGGACTCTGTTCTTTAAAATGACAACTCCTAAACTCTGTTTTTATTGTCATATACTCCATGTTTCTATGCCCCTTGTGACATAATGCTAGTTTCTTTCATGTTAAATAACTACATTTGCTATTTTTTATATAGTAACTTTTGGAGGCAGAGCTCAGATTCACATTGGATTAATGTGAATGCTTTTGAAAGATAGATATTCTTCATGAATACAGAATGTGCTCGATGCAACATACAAAGTGATTGAATACTCTAACTGGTTGCAGGTTATATTGCTTATTCCTGTACACTTTGTACATTGTTGCTCAGTATGCTTAAAGACAATGAACACATTGCATTATAACTCCATATGTCATGTTGGCTAGACATTTGGGGAAATGAAATCCCACACAAAACAAATTTCAGCATCTTAAAACAACTATAACTTTCCAAATACTATCTTAGCAGCTGTATACCATGTGTATCAGTCAATGGAAATAAAACAATTTTAGTATGCAGTAAGCAGACACTTGCACCTCTCCCCTCATTCAGTCTTCATCAGTAGCAAAGGAACCACAAAATAATTATTTTGTCATATTCCTACTTTGGGCTGGCCAGTTTCTCCTAATTTCACCTATATGGTAGAGCTGTTGGGAAAAATAAAAGGATCATTTATTGTGTACATTGACTTGAAATCTTGAAAGGAAGCTGGAATAGAGTTCTAATAAATATGTTCCCATTATAGAAACACTAAAGTTTTATAGCTGTGTCTTAAGCCACAAAAACCTTTCAGTTGTTTTCATAATAACAACTGTGTGTACCTTCCTTCCTCCCCTCCCCACTCTGCTTCAGTTCAGATGGGTAGGTTGACTTTTAAAAAGCAAGTATAGCTGTAAATAATATAAACAACTTAGTTTAACTTGAAATTAAGTTACCTAGATTACCTGAAAAGTAGCATTCATCATGTATTGCTAATAATGAATGAAACCTTTACTTTAACAATATTTTCTATCTCCCTTCCTCTTTTTCTGTTTTGAAGCCAGTAATGAATGAAGTAGTCGTCAATCAGGCACTCTAATATTAGGTTTTTATTGACAAACTTTTGTACCTGGAATGCAATATTAAAAATTTAAGATGCTCTATTCACTCCATTGGTATATGAAAAATGGATAAGCTATTTTGAATAGGAGACTAAAAGTAACAACCTAAATTGAAAAAGAGGATAGTGCATACCTAAATAATGGAAACATTTATAAGGCAATGGATATGCTTACCTTTCAGTTCAGTTATTATGGAATCAGTTTTATTTTTTACATTATTCATCCAAATAAGTTTATTCATAAGATGGATAATGGATCTTTCATTTCCTTTTACTAATAATTTGACTTTTCAAGAGTCACCCGGTTGAGCTGTGTGTCAATAAAAACTAACTAAATAAATGAAAAAATGAAAAAAAAACATCTGTGCACATATACAAGTTGTGAAGGTAGAAAGCCTGCAGTTTCTTTGGCAGTTTTCAGAAGTGATTTGTCATTGTCTTCTTCCTATGGCTGAGAGAAAAATGATTTGCCCTAGGTACCTAGCTCCTGTTATGCCTAAGGCAGGACTAGAATGCCCAATCTCCTGGTTTCTAGCTAAGTTCCTTAACCATTTTACCAACTATCTCAAGTTATAAATATGTTGTTTTTTAAACATTTTTCTCCCATTAATCCAATCTGTTGGGTCTTCACAATTCTCAAATTAGTTTTAAGCTGATTATCAATCAGTCCAGTCCTAATGATAGATGCCAGAATAATATCCATCCCATTAATTCTGTCTGCGATACGGTGCAGACAACAGTGGAGGCTGTGCTATTACACACTTTTTCCTTCCACAACATATCTGCTCTCATGGGGCATACTACAGTACATAGTATACATCTGATGCAAAAGGTAAATGTTGAAGCCTTTGGAAACCTATTTCCATGATGCTGTCATTTTTTCCCTTAGATGTAGGGAGTAGGCATTAATATGTGAAATAATTTTCAGTGTATACAATACAAAATGGTCTTTCTTTGCAAAGAATATCCTAATATTCCATGAATGCTGAGGTGTTCTATGTCACTAGTAAATAACCAAGAAAACGTTCTTGGGATTCTGAAGAATAGCTTAATAAAACACAATGTAGTGTTTTGTTGCTATGAAGGACATAAAACTATCCAGAGATAATTAGAAGTCCAGGCTTCTTTTAATAAATTTTGGAATGGAAAATAATTCATTCCTGAGGGAGATGCTATATTTCTGTAAAGCTATTTAGTTCATTCATTCTAATCAGAAATTGAAATGATAATTTCAGCTTTCCCTTTAATCACAGTTATCTTTTTACCCACCCTTTCCTTCCTTTTGCTACTTATTGCTGTGATGGAGGTATTTCCTTGATAAGAAATTTTCATTGGGGCACATAATGGAACAGAATGTGTTTAAAGAGCCATAAAAATTGTATGAAATAAATGCAAATACACTGCTCAAAAAAAGGGAACACAAAAATAAGACATCCTAGATCTGAATGAATGAAATATTCTTATTAAATACTTTGTTCATTACATAGTTGAATGTGCAAAATCACACAAAATCACACAAAAATTATCAGTGGAAATCAAATTTAGCAACCCACTGAGGTCTGGATTTGGAGTTACACTCAAAATTAAAGTGGAAAAAAACACTACAGGCTGATCCAACTTTGATGTAATGTCCTTAAAAGAAGTCAAAATGAGGCTCAGTAGTATGTGTGGCCTCCACGTGCCTGTATGACCTCCCTACAATGCCTGGGCATGCTCCTGATGAGGTGGTGGATAGTCTCCTGAGGGATCTCCTCCCACACCTGGACTAAAGCATCCCCCAACTCCTGGACAGTCTGTGGTGCAACGTGGCGTTGGTGGATGGAGTGAGACATGATGTCCCAGATGTGCTCAATTGGATTCAGGTCTGGGGAACAGGCAGGCCAGTCCATAGCATCAATGCCTTCGTCTTGCAGGAACTGCTGACACACTCCAGCCACATGAGGTCTAGCATTGTCTTGCATTAGGAGGAACCCAAGGCCAACCGCACCAGCATATGGTCTCACAAGGGGTCTGAGGATCTCATCTTGGTACCTAATGGCAATCAGGCTACCTCTGGCAAGCACATGGAGGGCTGTGCGGCCCCCTAAAGAAATGCCACCGCACACCATTACTGACCCACTGCCAAACCGGTCATGCTGGAACATGTTGCAGGCAGCAGAACGTTCTCCAGACCCTGTCAAGTCTGTCATGTGCTCAGTGTGAACCTGCTTTCATCTGTGAAGAGCACAGGGTGCCAATGGCGAATTTGCCAATCTTGGTGTTCTCTGGCAAATGCCAAACGTCTTACATGGTGTTGGGCTGTAAGTACAACCCCCACCTGTGGACATCAGGCCCTCACACCACCCTCATGGAGTCAGTTTCTGACCATTTGAGCAGCCACATGCACATTTGTGGCCCACTGGAGGTCATTTTGCAGGGCTCTGGCAGTGCTCCTCCTGTCTCTCCTTGCACAAAGGTGGAGATAGCGGTCCTGATGCTGGGTTGTTGCTCCTCCATGTCTCCTGATGTACTGGCCTGTCTCCTAGTAGCGCCTCCATGCTCTGGACACTACGCTGACAGACACAGCAAACCTTCTTGCCACAGCTCGCATTGATGTGCCATCCTGGATGAGCTGCACTACCTGAGCTACTTGTGTGGGTTGTAGACTCCGTCTCATGCTACCACTAGAGCGAAAGCACCGCCAGCATTCAAAAGTGACCAAACCATCAGCCAGAAAGGATAGGAACTGAGAAGTGGTTTGTGGTCACCACCTGCAGAACCACTCCTTTATTGGGGATGTCTTGCTAACTGCCTATGCTTTCCACCTGTTGTCTATTCCATTTGCACAACAACATGTGAAATTGATTGTCAATCAGTGTTGCTACCTAAGTGGACAGTTTGATTTCACAGAAGTGTGATTGACTTGGAGTTACATTGTGTTGTTTAAGTGTTCCCTTTATTTTTTTGAGCAGTGTATATTTAGCAGATACCTTTTAATTCTAAAAAATAAGAGCGGTTGTTAGTTTAACTCAATTTTATCATGGGGGTTGAATTTACTTTTGTCAGCTTGATTCTGGATATGTAGCCAGAGAGGGCTATAATTTTCTGTTTATTGCTTTAAATCTTCTAGAATTGTGGAGAGCTGGAGGCACTTGTATTACAGTGCCTCTGCTCTTAATTGCAAAGTTGTTTCTGAAAATATTTTCTGCGCTTTAGTAGTTAATATTAAAGGAGTCTGCATAAATGTATATTTTTCCTACATAGTTGAGTATTTATATGAAACCACTGAATGGGGTCAACAGATGAAAAAAGATAAGGTACAATGATGCTGATGATATCTAGCTCTTTCTCTTGCCATCAAGATCAGGTGAAACTGTTTGAAGGCAGTAATAGGATCAATAAGGCAATCAGCTGAAAATAAATCAATAAGAGGTTAGTGTTGTAGATTATTTGTTCCTAGATCTAGAGATTAGGGAAGTAAGACTTTCCTGGCACTCTTAAGGTATTCATTCACTCTATATTGTCATTGGAGGTTAGTAACTAGCAGCATAGAATCTCCTATACTTCTTTTGTCTGTTTTATTAGATCTGCCCATCCTCAATATAAGTAACCTGATCACAACAGACTATGCTTTTGTAACCTGCTAATAAGATCATTTTAAAGGGCACTACATGGACTAAAATGCTGTATATTATAAATATTGTAGCACAGCTGGCAGATATGAAATGACAGTGGCATGATCCACATAATTTTGGCCTTTAAAGAACAGAACTGGATCCCAATTAATTACCAATCCCAGTTCAAAATATTAACTTTAACACATATAACTCTGATTGTTTAAATGAGTACCTTTAGTATTGTTTTCTAGTGCCAGTGCTAATGTGTTCATATTATCAAATAAAACCAAGATTTTTGGTGTTTGTAGCAATATATTTCTGGGGTGGCACTTTGGTTCTAGAACATATTTTCACTGGAAATTAGGTTGGCTAATTTCAGTAACAGATGAAAAATTTATACCAGATTTTTTTAATATATAATAAGCTCTACTGGAAAGTGATGCTTCAGTTCAGATGGGTAGGTTGACTCTTTTAAATAGCAAGTATAGCTCTTTTTTTTGCATAAAATGTGTTTATTTTACTGGGTTTTTAAATATTTTTCATCTATACCAAGATCATTTTTATGATAAAGATAGAACTATCCTGCTTTTTATAAAAAGAAAGGTAATAATATAGTACAGGTAGTCCTCAACTTACAACAGTTCATTTAATGATATTTCGAAGATACATCACTGAAAAAAATGACCTATGATAGTTTTTCACACTTATGATTGATGTAGCATTCCCATGGTCACCTGATGCTTGACAACTGACTCACATTTAGGATGGTTGCAGTGTCCAGGAGTCATGTGATCGACTTTTTTTTTTAAAAAAAAACAAGTTTTATTAATTTTTTCAAAACACACAAGTCATCATTATCCATTACATATTTAAACCTTTTTCCATTATAAATTTAACAAGTCAGATAAACTATAATTCTGTTTTAAACCATTTCCATATAAACATATAAAAACCTCTTATCCATTTTCTCTTTCTTTCTCTTTACTCTTATTCCATTTTATTATTATTATTTCATCTATTTCTTTCTGACTTAGTTACCATTATTCTCATATTAATTCTCCCCCCCAAAAAAAACATATATACACAACACACAAAACATAAAAAAAATCTTTTTGGAAAGTAACTTGGACCCAGGTATCTCTTTCTTCATGGACTTCAACTGTATTCATACTCATCTTACATATCATTACTTATTTTATTTACCATTCTAAATCTTCTATATTAACTTCTCCCCATATTTCACTCTTTTTAATTCTATCTTAATTAATCATCTTAATTTGAGTCATATTTGTATCTTTTGTCCATTCTTTATTGTACCTTTGTCTCATTCCTTATAAAAAAAAGAGAAATTTCTCCTGAAATCACTAATCAGAGTATGATGCCTTTCTATCTCCCCACTAAATTAATCAAATTAATCTTTAGAATAACACCCAATACCCAATCCGATTTTGCTTGGTACATTCTAACTGAATAATACATCCAGAATAATTAAATACATAGTTAAACAATAGATCTAAATATTAAAAACAAATACTATAATAAAATTTTTATAATAACATCAATACCATAATCTTATTAAACTCTTTAATTAAAGTTCAATATTCTAAATCTCCCCTCATATTATTAAATTTTAAAACCAATCATTATTAACATTTCAACATTTTAATCTCTTATCAACTCTTAAGCCATTTAAGTTTTCTATTTCTAATACAATACTACAATATCATCTTATGTACCTTGCAAAATCTCTTTGAAGAAATTATACTTATCCTTTATCCCTAAAAAAAATTCCTTTTTTCCCATTTAATTTCAAAACTTTGTGGCTTTTCTCCACCTTTTCCCTTTCTTTCTTCTCCCAACAAACCTTTCTACCCCCCCTTCTTCTAGCCTCTGCCTTACTGGCTTCCCTTCTCTGTCGTATTCCTCTTCCCTTTTGTTTACCATCATTATATTGATTTTGCACCTTGTTTTTCCCTTTCTTAAATGTTTTTTTAAATCTCAAGTCCTTTATTTCTCTTCCTTTCCCTCTTCCTTCCCTCTTGGTCGAGTTCTGAGATTTATTAAAGATGGCTTCCTCTCCTTGTTCTTCTTCTGCTGTCTTCATCTGTTGCAATGTTTGTTGATAGTTAATGAACGCCATTTCCAAAAAAAGACAGGCTTCTTTCAAGCCAGCTTTACCATTTTTTTTTTTGCTTGCTCATAATCTTTTCTCAGTTCCTCAATAGAAGGAGCCATTATAAATCTTTTCTTTTCTTTTCTCTTATAACAATCAGAATATTCCAAAGGAAAAATAAGACAATCCCAAAGTTATCAGTCAGTCCAAACCAAGACAGAGTTCCCACTCTCTCCTCCTAGGGTAGTATCAATCAGAGAAAAAGAAAGTCCAAATCTGTTTCTTAAAATCTTATTGCAATATATTTTAGTCTTTCAATCCTTAAGGCATCTCCTCCAACAAAATCTTAGCATACAAATATTTTTTTTAAGTCCTCTCTTTTCCCACTCATCGCTTAAAGCCAGTTTTCACCTAAAAAAAAATAGGTTTCTTAATATTCACTTTTTATTCCGTAGAAAAAGAGGGCAAGCTATCCTTTCAGCACCATTAAACTGCCGCTTTTTTCCTCTTCTCGAAGGTATCATTCAGAAAGTCATACTTTTCAGGAATTTTGTTAAATATGTCTTAGAGTCCTAGGAACCAAGAAAAACTTTCTCCTTTCAAGCACTTTCTCCACTTCCTCCTGCGCATTCTTACCCGGCTGCCAGCTTCTTTGTGGCGGCCATTACGGACCGCCGCTGCACCGTCCTGGGAAAAGGGGGTTCTGCCGGCCGGGGAGGGGGTCTGCAACACCCCCAAACCCCTCTCCGGATCCCCCCTACCTTCAGCTGCCCCTGCAGGGCAGCCTAGCTCCGTACCCGTCTGGATCGGAGCCCCAAAAACGGCTAGCGCGGCAGGGATCACGCAGCTTCGCAAATCCCTGCCGCTCGCGAAGCCGACAAACCGGAAGCCCCATGTGATCGACTTTTGAGGCCTTCTGACAAGCAAAGTCAATGAGGAAACCAGATTCACTTGACAAGCGCATTAGTAATTTAACAGCTGCAGAGATTCACTTAACAAATGTGGCAAGAAAAGTCATAAAATGAGGCAAAACTTATTTAACAAATTTCTCACTTAACATAAATTTTGGACTCAATTCTCATAAGTTGAGGGCTGCCTGTATGAGAAGTTTGAATGCTCTTTCAAATTATATTGCAATTTCTCTTTTGTTTTGTCATACTTACGTTTATTTTTAAAAATTGAGAATGTGGAAGTGTATAAAACGTCTGCTTTTCATATTTACTCTGTAGTATGGAGAAATTATTTTGTGTACTGAGGATCAAATATTAGATGGGGTTTGATATGAAGCCTCTACATTTTCCCTGTTACCTCAATTGGTTTTTTTTTAAAATCACAAATCTGTATTGTTCAAAGTAGTAAGATGTTCTATAATTGACTTATATTGAGTTGCATAATATCTAAAACTTGTTTTGGCTGTAATCCCATCATTTTTCATACTTTGGTATGAAATAAAATAAAAATATAAATGACTTAGTTATTGATCAAATACCATATACCAAGCAGGACATTGACAAATAACATATTCTAAATTTAATTTTTCAATTTAATTCTTAAATTAAATCAAATTTTAGTCCTAATAAAGGAATGTAGTGAATGTACAGACTCCAAATTCCCCACACTGTTTCTTGTTTTTTGAAATAACTTCGTTCAATATTGAAATTGTATGCATCTAGACAAAGATAGGAATTTCCTAATCCATGGTATTTTTAATTTTTTTTAGACAAAAGAAGCTAGAAAAAGTGATGGAAGAAGAAGGCTTAAAAGATGAAGAGGTATTATTGCATGTGCTAAAACTTGTTGATGATTATGTACCAAAGCTATTGCTGTGAATGATTATACTCTAATTGTTGTTTCTTCCTTTAAAAATATATTAGAAAAGACTAAGAAGATCAGCACATGCCCGAAAGGAGACAGAGTTTCTGCGACTGAAAAGAACAAGGCTTGGACTTGAGGATTTTGAATCTTTAAAAGTAATAGGCAGAGGAGCATTTGGGGAGGTACGATCTTGAGACTAATAATGTTAGGAGGAATAATGATCTGCAGTTTTAGCAAATGGCAGAGCCTGTTCAATGTGCTCTGGGCTTGGAAAATAATCAGGGTCATTCCTGGCTAGTATTTTGATGGGTTTGAACCAAATCTAAAGGCTAGATTGAGAAGCAACCTAGAAGCAAATATACAAATATTTAAAATAATATAATTCATATTGCCTAGTGTTTATTATTTGCAATAGCAATAGACTTATATACCACTTTATAGTGCTTTACATCCCTCTCTAAGCGGTTTACAGAGTCAGCATATTGCCCCCAACCATCTGGGTCCTCATTTTATTGACCTCGGAAAGATGGGAGGCTGAGACAACCTTGAGCCAGTGAGACATAAACTGCCAAACTGCTGGCAGCCGATGATAGCCTGCAGTACTAACCACTGTGCCACCACAGCTCTTAGATAGCATTTTTACTGCAATGAAACAGAAGTAGGTAACCTAGTGTCTTAGATTATATTTTGGACATTAAGTCTTAGAGGTCCTGGAAGTGTTGATTGGGACTTATGGGAGTAGCAGCTGAAAACATGTGGAGGGCACAAGATTTCTTCCTGCTGATATAGATGTATATGCTTTTATAAAGAAAGAGGTCGGTTTCTGTCACTATTAACATTAGCAGAGAAAAAACTGAAATATGTGAAATGTATTAACACAAAAACAATTGGTGTCTAACATCTAGGTGCGGCTTGTTCAGAAGAAAGACACAGGGCATGTATATGCAATGAAAATCCTACGAAAAGCTGACATGCTAGAAAAAGAGCAGGTAAACGCAGTTATCAAAAGGTTTATGCATCTGGGGGGTGGGCATGTTTTTTGATCAGTCCTTTAGACTGGTAATTGGATTTCTTGAATTACCACTCTGAAAATAACTGGAATTTCTGGAAAGTAAGCGATACTTTTCTTAAGGAAACAAAAACAGTCATTTTAGTCACTAAGTTGACTGAATGTTAATTCTGATATTTTTGGAACTTTAGCAAAAATGTATGTTTATAGATGAGCTCCTCTTGATTTTGTATCCCTTCTGCCTTCATTTAAATACTGTTGAATTTTTAATATTTATTTTACAGTAACTCTCAAATATTACCTGAAGATTTGCAGAAATCTTCACAAAGAAATTGTTCTGAACAACATTTTAATTGTGAATATTGAATGAAGGATATGTCAGGAACCTGAGTTGAATGAATAGTGGTTATTTAATAGTAATAGCACTTAGACTTATATGCCACTTTACAGCCATCTAAGCGGTTTACAGGGTTAGCCTATTGCCCCCAACAATCTGAGTCCTCATTTTATCAACCTCAGAAGGATGAAAGTCTAAGTCAACCTTGAGCCAGTCAGGATCAAACTGCAAAAGCAGCCTGCAGTACTGCATTCTAACCATTTCACCACCACAGCTCCTTATTTAAGCATGTAACTAGAAGACAAATTGGCCAATTAAGAACAATTTTAAGTTTATTTCTAAGTGTTTATGTTTCCAGCTAATCATTTCAGCTTTTGATTCTTTAAATAGATATGCCTTTAATGGAAATTAAAGTGGGTCTCGAATGCAGTAGCCAGGCTTCTGTTGGGTGTCCCTCACTGAAGGCACATAACATCAGTTGTGGCCCAGCTCCACCAATTACCCATTGTGCTCCAGACCAAATTCAAAAGTGTCTAACATATAAATGCCTTTGCTTTATGTGGGCAGATCCCTAGCTATAATGACTCATCATTCTTTAACTAGGAGCTCTGTTTATCTACTAAGGATCTGCTGAAGATGTTGCCCATGAAGGAGACCCAGCTAGAAGGATATTCTGATCACTTTTAAAATGTAATTTGAAAACCTCCCCCCTTCTGAAAGGACTTACTAATGCAGATTTTCCCAACTGCATGTTATTTAAAATATTCTTTGGCTACATCATTAATATTAATTTTGCAATTTATAGACTACCCTTTGCACAGTGGAAATGCAAGTGATTAACAAAATAAATACCCTGTTTCTCCAACAATATGGCCTCCCCCAATAGGAAGTCCCAGCATGTTTTATAGGCATGACATGAAATTAAGCCCCTCCCCCCAAATTAAGGCCTATATTAAAACATGCAAAATGGGGGGGAATGGTGGGGGGGCTTGCCGTTAGGAAGTACTTTTGTTGCACACCCAGATATGGTGCTGCCTGCGTTGACCCCAATATGAAGTGCCCCACCAACGCCGAGGTCAACATCCAAGCCATCGCTGCCCGCCTGCCCGAAGATGCAAGGGGGGGGAATTAAGTCACCCCCGAAAAGACGGCCTAGCCATTTTTTCGGGGCTCAAAAAAAAAAAAAAAGACCCGGCCTTATTATATGAGAAACACGGTAATTAACAATGAAAAGAACATTTGCCAGAAATTATGATTCAGAAGTTAAAAAGACTAATACTAAAGCAGCAGAGGGTAGTGCAGCCCTACATATATTTCTCTTAATAACCCATTCAGTATGGTCAACGTAGATAATTGTTTTTGCTGTAACTCAGCAATATGTGAAGGACCACCTGCTTCCTATCTAGTCACTGAAGATTTTAATGAGTATGCTGTACAGAAAAGTATCTGTGTTAGATTACAGTTTGTTATTTTCATGATGGCTTATGTGTCCCAAATGGCAGTCATGCTACTGGGTATTCATAAAAAAGTTCATTTTAAAATTATGATAGAGGTAGAAATGCCTGACTGCCTTTTACAAATATCTGAAAATGGTACCTGTAATTGAACACTTTCATTTATATATCCATCACCAGGTTGGCCATATTCGAGCAGAACGAGACATTCTAGTGGAGGCAGATAGTTTGTGGGTTGTAAAAATGTTTTATAGCTTTCAAGATAAGCTAAACCTCTATCTTATCATGGAGTTTCTACCTGGAGGTAATTATTCATTGTTGTTTGTTTTTGAATTGTTTACTTTTAAGCTGTTTGTTTGAATCAATTGTTGGGGATATACGTTCTGATTCTGAATTTAGTTCTTGTTAATAGGTGAAAACTCATTTGAAAAATGTAGTAGTATATGAGAGTTTTGGCCTGTTAAAAACTTGTTGCTTGTGCTGGCATTCCTACTGAAGTAATGATTGTGCTCCGTTTTGCCTATTTGCTGGGGGAGAAGGGAGCGTAATCAAAGCCTGTCAGCTTATTGCTCAATATCTATCTTTTTAGAGTCTTAGCTAAACTTGCAGTTACTAGTTTTCTTGGCTACAAAATAATCTTGAAAGCTGTTTTTTTTTTAAAAAAATAGTAGGTATTACGGAATTAAGAGGATATTCAAAAGTTAATGTTGATATTACAGACAACTATAATTGTGATGGGGTGGTTATCTGTAGTATTGGTATTTTGTATGTCCTTACTGATAATGTTTTAAAACAGCATTGATTAGGGTAAAACAACCTGAAATACTCTGTGGCAGGTTTTTGGAATGTGAAGATATTTTTTTGCTTGTTTGGAATTATATCTGTGAAAATTTTAGTGGTAAAGAAAGCAGGACACTTGAGTTCAACTTCCATCTTAGCCATGAAAATCAACTGAGTGACTTTGGACCAGTCTCTCCCTCTCCCCTACCTCCCTCCCTTCCCCCCCTCCCCCCGTGCCCAACCCCTATCTCAACGGGGTTTTAATGTGGGAAAATAGGAAGAGGAAGGTGTCTTGGGTATATTTGCTCCCTTGAGTTATTTGTAAAAATAATAAAGTCAGGATGCAAATAAATAAAAAGGAGTAGATGAAATTGTTCTAGAGAAAAAAGTATTTTGTAAAGAATACAGGGTACCTTTTATAGTATAAGCTCAGTTAAATGAAGAGCCGATAATGTGTTTATAAAAGAGATGAATTAACTTGCCTTCACTTTCCTTTGTGCATACAGGTGATATGATGACATTATTAATGAAAAAAGATACCCTTACAGAAGAAGAGTCTCAATTTTACATAGCAGAGACTGTGTTAGCTATAGATTCAATTCATCAGCTGGGTTTTATTCATCGTGATATCAAGCCGGATAATCTTCTCTTGGACAGTAAAGTAGGAGTCCTATTTATTGGCTAGTTTTTTTTTTTTTTTTAGCATTTCCTATTAGACTGCTAGGCTTTATCATTTTTTAATTATTTAGAATAATTCTAAATAAAGGTATCTAAAATAAAACTATATCTATTCTAAGTTTGAAATCTATATACTACCAAAACTCTTGTGTCTGACTGATTGTTTGTAACCTTCAGTTGAGTAAAATGGTGAATCACAGAGCAACAATATATCTCAAATGGGTTAACTTAGAGAATGTGTCCAAAATCTGGGACCCATCAATCCCATGGGATTGAAATTTGGCAATGTTGTGGCCACTTCAGTGCTACTACCACAGCATTGCACTGCTGTGGCACATGATCAACATTTCCAACACTCCCTGCCAGCTTCCTACAGGGAAAGCCAGTTGGAAAACTGGCAGGAAGTTGGAAATCACACCTGCTCCAACTTTTCCCTTCTCTTTTTGACCTGCCCATGGTCATTCTGTTTCTCTGTTTAGGTAAAGAAATATCTCTAAAACGATGACTCAGTGAATCATGTGGTTGTTTACTGGAAGTCTGTTGTTAACACCTGTGACTTAGCTCTTCCTTGAAATATTGTCATTGCAGTTGAAATACTGTGCAGGGGGCACAATAAATAAGTAAGGAAAAGATGCAGTTCCTTACTTATTTATTGTGGATGTTTAGGATGTTCTCTTATACTTTTCACTTGCCTTCAAGAAAGAACACATTAAAATGGGTTTGTTTCTTACAAGCTTTATGTGTAGAAGTACACTCATGACAATGAAATGATTTTGATTGAAAGCAAACTATCCTTTTAAAATACTTTTAAAACATTCTTCCACAATACCTTCAGTAAATACCTGCATTTATAGAACATGTAACATGCATGTTTGCATTCTGTCATAATAGCCCAAGATGCAAGCCAGTTAAAGGGCATTCTGCAGCCTGGGCAAATTTGATCATTCTAACTTTGCTGAAAATGAAAATATATGTGGTTTTTCTCAGGGAAGATTCCCACACAATAATCAGCAGGCATCTAATAGAGCTTTCCTTTTTATTTATTAAGTGTTCCATCTTTTACACAGTACACTCTTTCTGTTCACTGTAACAGGAAAAGTATGGATGGCTGTCACCGAATGACACACGTAATTAACTCCTTACATGATATTATTGATTTGATTAAGAATTCCTGGGATGCTTACTTATATTACGTTTGATTTTCTTAATTTATTTAAAGGATCCACCTGATTGGGCATAGCTGATTGTGATTAATATGCAAAGAATTGTATACAAAAACTTTCTTTTTTTATTTTATTTTAAAATATAAAAGTTTATCTAAAAAGAAAACCAAATGTGTGATATTTGCTAAGTATTTAGTGTTTGAATGCTATTGTGCACTGTTATTTAATTGTCCTATTTTTGTGTTGTTGTTTACTTTCAGGGCCACGTGAAGCTGTCAGACTTTGGTCTTTGCACAGGACTAAAGAAAGCACATAGAACAGAATTCTATAGGAATTTGAGCTATAATCTTCCTAGTGATTTCAGTAAGCCTTTTTACTTTGTTTAAACACACTTGTAATCACACAAAGAATAAGTGCCCTCAAATATTCTTTTGTTCTTATCCACTCTGAGTCTACCTGGTGGTCTGTATGTTTAGAAGAGTTTGTTTCCTTTGTGGGTGGGTCTCATATACTTATTTAATTTTACGTATTTTTATCTTGCCATTTAGCAGAAAAGTAGCTTATATAAAGTAAGTAACACACAAAATGCTCTCTGCTTTCAGACAGGCTATGTTCAGGTACATAAAAGAAAGATACTGACTAGAAAAGAGAAAACAAGCAAACCTGGGCATGGAGCTCTTATAAACAAGCACGCTGTCACTCTTGCCTGTCATGATATACATATAGTCTTGGTTAATAACCAGTCACTTAATGACTGTTTAAACTTACAATCCATCTCCAAACTTCTGTCTGTTTCTCTCTCTCCCCCTCTCTCTCTCTCTCACTCACTCACACACACACACACACACACATTCACACACACATACACACATGCCAGTTTACATAATAGCATTTTGGGCACTTGATTGGTTGCAACATCCCCATAGTCATGTGGTCAAGATTTGCAATGGTTTTGCTTGCTTCTGACAAAAAAATGCCCATTTGAGAGAATGGCTTTGCTTAATAGCCACATGGTAATGTATGACTATATGACTGTTGTAAAAACAATTGTCAAATTAAATCAGGTAATATGGTGACCCACTTAACAACCGCAATGACTTGAGACTAAAATTCTCAGCCTGAGTGTGATTGCTAAGTGAGGACTACCTATACTGCTTATACTCTAAAGTTAAAAAGATAGATCTTCTCCCTCGGAGAATTGCATTTGCAACAAAAAAGATTCTGTTCATTTAAAATAAATGCTTTGGTAATTGGCTGCTGCATAATAGTACTGGTATCTGTATAAAAAAAAGAAACGTGGGAGTGTGATTTAAATGCCTTTTATTCAACATGTATAGCTTTATCCTGCGCCTAAAGACAACCCCATTAAGCTTAGAAATTGAAATGCTTTTATCTTGGAATTGTATCTTTAGTTCAGCATGTACCCTTTTAGCAGTATTGATAAATGAAGCAGGTGAGATGCTGCCTTCAGATAATACTTTTGTGAAGTTGGGTAGCTTATTCAGAATTTATATACATGTTTTTGATTTCTTGCTACTTTTAGCTTCAAAATGCCTCCAAAATATTTGATTAAATATATATTTTAGAAATATTTATTAATGCTATTCAGCCATATACAGCAACTTTCCTCTTGCCTAGTTGTTTTCATTGCATTTTTGGGAAAGAGGGGAGAGAATGTGGGCCATTAAAATTCAGAGCAAATATATAAAAAAGATGTTAACCATGTTATAAATATTTCTTCTTTTCAGTGTATCATTAGATTAAAACAGTTCAACATGGAAAATACCAATGTTATTCATCTTTGGTTATTTATCTTCAGCTTTTCAGAATATGAACTCCAAAAGAAAAGCAGAAACTTGGAAAAGAAACAGAAGACAATTGGTAGGTAGTGTTCTCTGGATAATTTGTCTCATATTGCTTCATTTGAAGCAATACACTGCTGTTCAACCAAAAAAGAAAGAAATTCCTTTAGTGGGTCACATAAGATTAGTTACAAACAGGACAGTCCATGCAAATAGGTATGTGGTCGTAAATAACGCCAAAACAAACAAAAAGAAGGTAAGGGAAGAGTGAAGAAAAACAAACTTGGATTCTAGTTCTTAAACCAAATGGAAATAGTTGAAAAGGGAAGTGGAAATGAGTGGAACTGGGGTCTCAGCAAAATAGGTGGAGGAGACACCCTTTTCTGGTAGGGACTTCTTCTGTATTTATTTCTCTGTTCCGTTAGTGCAGATTAGATAAAGCTGCTATATATAGGAAGAGTACAGATGGTAAGCATTGCTAATGCTTGTGGTAGCCCTGATTCAGGCGTCTGCACTATTGTGTGGAGGAACATTTTATGTATGTAGATGGTAAAATGCCTGAAAGCAGTATTATGCCAAGTCTATAAGATCCTACAAACCGCTTGAGGGCATTGGAAGATGGAGTAAAATAACCTGCGTTCTAACACTATCATATAAAAATGCTGATATTCATAGAGTACATGGCCCAGAAGCATATTAGATTTCCTCCATTTGTAAATCGTATTGTTCCTATGTCACAGGTATTCAGGTCAAGCTTCAGATACGATTTTTGAAAGATCTGACAGAACATGTACAAGTGAAACTCTTATCAATTTTTAGTGCTATAAAGCAAACGTATCTTGTCTCAGGATTATGAAATCCTGGAGAAAGGAACAACTGCTTTAAGGTATTGCAGACAGATGCTGTATATATGTACTTGGGAAAAGCTTTGAGGGAATAGAATCCAAACAACAGCACAATCTTAATACTTGTTGACATTAGACTTGATATTAGGTATTGCAACTGTTAGCCAAACTGACTTAGCAAATAGAAATGCTACAATATTTGCATTAATAAATAATTCAATCTGAAGTAAACTGCTTGCCAGAAGTACATCATTTGTGTTAAATATTTACTTAGAAAGAAAATACCACCCCATCTCCAAGTTTCACATCCCAAGATTGTTTTAGGGAATTATTACAAAAGCAGTATGTCTTACATAATTTTCTTTTGCTACTCCAGTCCTTTGTTCACAAATGGAATATTTCTAAAATCATTGAATAGATACTGTTTCATTTTAGGCTTTCTCCACTGTGGGAACTCCAGATTATATTGCTCCAGAGGTCTTCATGCAGACAGGATACAATAAGCTTTGTGACTGGTGGTCCCTTGGAGTCATAATGTATGAGATGCTAATCGGTAAGGGATAACATAGTAGATCCAAATTAGAGCTATGATATGGTCACAGATCTAAATCTGTTCCTTCATTTCTAAATAGAATATTACTTGAGGTGTAACATTATCTTTATTTTTATTTGCAGTTGTAATGTTTAACTTTGAAATGAAATGTATGGAGTTAGGAATTGTTAACTAGTATAGCTTTGCTTCATTAATCACTGATCTAACTTTTTATGCTTTTCTCAGGCTACCCTCCTTTCTGTTCAGAGACACCTCAAGAAACATACAAGAAAGTAATGAATTGGAAAGAGACTTTAATATTCCCCCCAGAAGTTCCTATTTCTGAGAGAGCCAAAGATCTCATTTTAAGGTACCTAAATCTATAATTGCTAACCTTGAAGTCTTGGAGAGTGATGAAATTGATACTTTGGTTTTCATTGCACGAACTTTAATATTCAGTCTTCAATGATTTGGGTTGTCATTTTCTGAAATTGTACAATTGTGCTTTATAAACTATCCCAAGTTGGATACTGATATCCAAGAGTATAAGTAGAGATGTTCAAGAAATGAAAAAATAGTTCAATTTTGAGCTAGAAACAAGCCATCATGTTCTAGACATTTTCCTGAACTGTTGGGTAAGCCATGATTTGGCAGAAATAGAATTCAAAATATTTAGGTTGATCCACATTTTCAGAAGAACAAAATCTGGATTGGAGAGGAAATCTAGCGTGGTTGGTGTGCATTGTCTTCTACTCTGCTTCCAACAGTAATCTGTTGGTCCACCTGCCTTCTTCCCAACTTCACCATTCCATCTCTTCCCTCAGCCAATGCTTTCAGGCCCACCTCCTTCCACCTGGTTCACCCAGCACTTTCCCTATACTTTGTATTGCATAGAAACTGGAGAGCATTGGGTGTATTCCAGAACATGCACTCCATTTCCTTCAAACAAGAGATTTGGTCCATTTTCCGCTTAAACTGAAAATCCTATATTCAAGAGAGCTGCCTACAATCTGATGCTTTTTAAAATGGTATCTTGCCTTTTCTTTGTTTTTTGAATAGATACTGTTGAACTATGTTCTTTCTTTTGTGTTTAATTCTCCCCGCCCCCCCAAGCAATGCACAGATTTGGTTGTACCTATGTAATTAACATTTCATGAATAAATGCATGGAATGTATAGCTAACATGGCTACAATTATGATTATATGTAATATTCAGTCCAGGAGTTGGTCCGATTCTGAATACTATTACTGAAGAACATGAGTGGGTGAATGCTGTTTTACTTGCGTCTCTACTTGTGGGATTCCCTTAAGTATGTGACTGATTGTTAAGGAAGGAAATAGAATACTAGAGCATACTTTAATACTTTAGCATGGAGCTGTGCTGGACTGAGTCCACCTTTACCATCCAGTGAGGGCTTAAATTGTTTCCTATTTTCTTGACAAGCCAATATTACAAAGAGAAAATAGGCATTCTGATCACATTGAATAAAGTGAGAAGGGATTGTATTTCTATATGTATTACTTTCTAGAAATTGAAAGTTTCGTATCTGAAAGTGCAACAGAAAGGTTCTTATAAGACATCCAGGGCTGTATTTCTTTAGTATGTTGATTTCATTCATTTAGTATTTTGATATCATATCAAAAATGATACTTTTTCAGTACGTTTTCTAGTTCCCTGGAAAGCTGTAAGGCCCTGCACTTTTTTTCCAATTTGTTTATAGCAGTAGCATTGTATCGGCACCGATACTCTTTTTTTTTTTTAAGGTTATTAAGGCTTGCCTCAGAAATAGTGTGCTGGAATGAATATATATTTGTCTACCGCAGATACTTTATTTTCTTGTTAGTAATTCATATTTTAAAACTTCTGAATCCTCCATGGTGTCTTTGTCTTCAGATTTTGCTGTGAATGGGAACATCGAATTGGTGCCCCAGGTGTTGAAGAAATTAAAACAAACCCCTTTTTTGAAGGAGTTGACTGGGAGCATATTAGGTACAGTATTTTCTTCTCAGCTTTTGTTCAGTTTTCCAGCTGAATCACACAGGAGGGACTGCAACAACTTTGAGCATGGTTGAGATTGAGTTTCAAAAACACTCATGATGTATATTTGGTTTGCAGTAGAACAAATTATTTTCCCTTGCAAGACCAGTTATTTAACCCTGATTCTCTTTGACAGGGAGAGACCTGCGGCAATTTCCATAGAAATCAAAAGTATTGATGACACATCAAACTTTGATGAATTTCCGGAATCTGATATCCTTAAATCTGCAGGTATATTATTAATCTTTTTGCTTTATTTTATTCTTAGGCGAGACCTTAGCTGTCCCTGATTCTCTCAAGTAAATAGTCTTTTCATAGAAAAAAAATCACTGCAAATCCTTATGGAAGGCGCTTAGCAGGGTGGATCTGTGGTAGAGTCTCTCTACTTTGGGGATGTCATATCTACTCTTAAGTTGTATGCAAAAGTTTCTCCTCCAGAGACTTAGGATTCTGGGAACGTTAGAATGTTCCATTTTTCTTTTGACAAAAAACTAGCTTTATAATACAGTAAACTATTTCCCATTACAGAAGATTTATTTCCAGGAAATGAGCAGACCAGTTCTGAAATGTCCAGATTGACATCAGAAAGAAAATCAGAATGTTACAGCGTTTCTTAAAATTGTATGTTTTGCATATCCCTGCTGTTCATTTTGCCTTAGCTGGCCTTGGCTGATCTCAGAACATAAGCAGAGATTATCCTTATTAGTGCCTGGATACAATAGATGAATCCCAGATATGAGAGCTAAAAAAGAAACTCCAAATTTAGAGAAGTTTACTGCAGTCCAGTTTTAAGTTTACATCTAAACAAAGGCCAGCCAGGGCTATAGGGTTAGAATGATACAAAGCAGCTGGCATCTTTGTGATCTTAAAGTCTTTTTTTGTCCTTTGTGATATTTTTTGATATGAAATGCATTGTCATGAATCCCTTTTATTTTGTACATGATTAAATGCTTGAATTTTTTGGGGGTGGGAAACTAGTTCTCTGAGTTTAGAAGCTGATCTAATTTGTCTCCTCACTCTGGCAGGGTTGATGTCATGCTCTTTAATGATCGCTCTTTCCTCCTTCCTTCTTCCCTCCCTCCCTTTCTTTTTCTTTCTTCCATTCTTTTATATTTTTAATTCTTTCTTTTTATTTTTTATAATACACTCAAGCTGAATGATAATATTCTCCCATCTTGCAAATGTCTAATATTCACAACAAATTTCTGTCCTGTAATAAATGGTTTAATATTCCTTCTGAATTTTGTTTTTCATCAGTGACCACAGGTAACCATCCAGAAACGGACTACAAGAACAAAGACTGGGTCTTTATCAATTATACCTACAAACGTTTTGAAGGTCTGACTGCTCGAGGGGCAATACCATCCTACATGAAGTCAGGAAAATAACAGTTCTTTGCTAGATGGTTTACTTTTGTCTCGGAACTTTGACCCTGGGGCTGTGAAAGTTTGAAGAATGCAAAATGACATCTTATGCTCTGTTTACATTACAAGTGATGGAAAGGGGAAATTCCACAAATCGCACTTACAGATGCATTTGCAGATTTTATTAATTAATCTTTGGTCTTTAGGTAAACAATTTTAAGACTTACTTCATCAACAAAGGAAAGAGCAGGCTTTTAATTCCGAATATGATGTGTTCTGTCTTACAAGTGCTGTCTGAAAATACAGCTCAGTTCTAAGGGCTAAGGCATTACAAAAGAAGCAGAGCAGTAATTACTATGGCGAGAGAGCTGACTCTCAGTAGTTTATCCCATAGGATGGCAAAATCTTTTTGCCTTAAATATAGGGCTATTCATGTTTTTTTGATAGCATTTTTTCAGTCCAGTAATGGCTTCAAAACCTGCGGCACTTTTACTGCTGGTACTAAAATAGTCATCTGGAAGTATTATGCCTTTTAATAAATTTCTGGTATGTTTAATATTATGTATTCTATAAGCAATGTTATGAGCAATGATGGCAATTTCTGGTAAAACCTGTTTATAAAGAATGTTTTTTCTATTTCGCAAAAAAAAGCAGATCACTAGTAATAACAACACTTTGTAGGCAATACTGTAAGGAAATTGGGAACAATATGTCATCCTTCCCTCCCTTCTTTCAGATCTTTTTCATATCAAAGCCAATAATACATTGTTATAAAATGAGAATGATTCTATGATTTTGAGATAATTTGGAATTTTATCTTAAAAATAGAGAGCGTCTATAGTTTTGTAATGCAAATTACATGAATTCATATTGTGTAATCAAAGTTTCTATTTGGCTGTAATAGTTGCATACACTGGGCTCTTTGACACTATTACGATATTCAGGTTATCCAGGCAAATCCCAACTGTCTACACAACATACCATTTACTATTCTCATTTACTATGCTCTATGCCTGTAATTTAATTTTGAAGTATGTAGGGTGATTTATTTCTTGGTCACAGCACCATGATTATAAAGAAACATACACGTAATGCATTTGGAAACAGAAAAAGAATAGTAAGAGGATTGAAAATTATGTCCCAGAATACTTTTAAGTACATTAAAAATTTTATCTAGTTAAATAAAATTACAAAGCTTTAATATATTCTGGCTCTTTTCTTATATATTAATAGGCAAAGAGCACCTAAAGTATTCTGCTCAAATAAATCAAATTCAGGAAGGATGTGTCAGGTCCAGCCTTTGTTCTTTTTGAAAGAGCTGAAGCAGCTTGCATTAATATCAGCCATTCACATTGACCATAAATTGTTTCATTCTGTTTCATCTCTTCTTATCCACCAGACTTTTAAAAAACAAAACTTTTTTTACTGTAGCTATCTATATACATGCCATAGGTGATATACATGTTCTCTGAGAGTGTGCCATGTGCCTTTTGATCATATAAAACTAATGCCACAAATTTTGCTATCTCCAAGAGTCTGAGAAAGCCTGCTGCTCCAAGTAGCTTTCTAGATGTGAATCTACAGAGAAACATCAGTGAGGAAGAAGCAAATGAAACATTTGCATTTAACTTAAGCCTAAAGGGAAGCAAGGCTTGCTTCTGCTTTTAAGTATCTATGTGCCTAGTTTTACAATTACCATGTTTGGACGTGCCTCATCCCTAACGAGGCTAGGGTTTTTTGCTTATTTGCTAGATAATGATGGATTTGAAGTTAAATTCTGGTGCTTGCTAAATATTGAAAACATGTAGCATATGTAACTGGTGCTTAGTAAGCCTTAAATAAAAAAGCTGTAGAAAACCCTCAGGGTAACCAGAAAGCTTAAGAGAGTTGACCAGCCAACACCTTTTCAAAGGGAAAAACATTGTGTTACATTCTATCTCCATTACAGTAATGTGTTTCTTTTGCATTATGACAATATAGTACAGAGTTGTGCGCAGTGTGATAGATTATGAATGCAAGGATAGTATGCATGTGGGTAAATTGGATTTACAGTACAAGGTATAATTCTGCTTGTCTTTTGTAATTAGGTAAAGGGGTTGTTTTTTTTTGTTTTGTTTTAGTGAAGTTGAATAAAACATTGCTATAAGCAAAAGACTAGTTTTGAGTTCTACAATCAGGACAATGGCCAAGATCTCAGTAGACTATCCTGATATTATGTAGGGTGCTTGTTTGCCATTATGACTGTGGCTAAATTTAGGACACTCACAAAAAGGATAGTATATTAACAAGATTATGAAAATTAAATCTATTTCATTTTTTTAAAAAACTGCCATCTCCCTTTGCATGGAAGCATTAGAATTTGGATTCTAATGACATGTTTAGGAACACTAAAGCAAGAGTTCTCACAAAATAGGTCATATATTTTAATGCATAATGTTGGCACCTAATCCACAGTTTAGATATATGAACTTGATTCCTGATTCCTTCTCATCTTAATCCCAGCTGTGTTGGTATTGACCTCAAAGCGAATTAAAAGTCCCAGCTAACTAAAATTTAAAAATATTAAGTTCTAACTTAAAAGGAACCCTGTCAAAACTTAATTGCCATTATTGTCAATGTTATTGTGAACTCATAACCATGATTGGGCTGCACTGAAGCACATAAGCTGCCACTTTCATATTGCTGGCTCTTGACATCTTGCACAAGCTCATAGTACTTTTTGAAAGTCACTTTTCTAGGATGACACTTCCTTGTTCTAAAGCAATTTTTAGATCTAATTGGCCAAGCAATTATATCATACTAGTAAATGCAAGTTGCTATATTTTGCTGAGCTGAATTATTAAGTAATCATTGATGTATCTTCCATATATCCCAAAACCCGCAAAAGTTTTGGATTTTGGCCTGCTGGGGGATGGAGAAAATAAAAATCCTGGCTAAGGTAAATATAAGCAACACTGCTGGTTGTGTATGATTCCTAGCAGGTTATACTATACTTAGGTACTGACTAGCCGCTGTGCCTGGGTTCTGCCTTATTTTGGTAGATGACAATTATTTTGTATCTGCATATATGGCTGTTCCTCAATGCAATGTACAATTTAGAACACTTTGTATGTGATTTGTTGGTTTTATTTGGAGACCAATTCTATATGGAACAACCTTTGCATTCTGAAATGTATAAAATTCATTTTCAATAAATGTAGTTTTGCTATTTCTTGTGGTGGTTTTCTGAATTTAAAAAGTTACTAAAAGTTGCTTCATTATAACTTATGATCAGTATGTGAATAGATGTATTTGTTCAGCATATTTTTCAAATGCAGTTGATGCACAACTTTATTCCAGTTACTAAATTTATATGCTTGCAAAAAAAAAAAAAAAAAAACAAGTAATTTAGGAAAGGAAGACAGGAAGAAAAGAATACATGGCATCAGGATGTTGATTAAAGGAAAACTATAATTGTCCATATAAAACTTTTTTTGTTACAATAAGAGGGAACTTATAAAGGCATATCTTGGTTATAACAAAATCTGGTTCACTTGTGACAGAAATTATACAGCAGCATTTAGACTTTATAACATCAATTGTAGATATATTGTACCTTGTTTCTATGTGCACACCTAGATGGAGTCTATTAAGTGAATATAGATACACATGAATGCTATTTCTACTGATGGTACATGGCTGAGAAGGCATCAAAAGAAAAGTCACAGGAAAATAGATTCAAAAGTACTATAATAAAGTCTATGAAGAAGTATATAAAAACTTTTACAAAAAATACTGAAACAGCATGTAAATGCCTTGAATTAACTTATAAACTAAATCACAATAATAAAAGAATAAGGGTGTGATTACTCCTGAATTGAATTTTTCCATTTGCTCAAATGCAATGGGGGGGGGGGGGGACTTGCATCAAATATTTTTTAGAATAAATCTGTGAATAACTTTTGAATTGTATTGCCTCCAATGCTTATTCTGATCAGTACTATGAGAAATGCTGGCCTTTGCATATGAAATTGGTGATTATTCAGTTCACTGGGATACAATGAGCCTAAACTTCACAGACCTGAATTTGTCATTGCTTTAATTTAAAAGTTACTTTTTATTTTATCTATCCAGTGAGTTAGATTCCGGGTTTGGTCTGTACCACTGAAATCATGATTTTTCTAAAATTGTGGTTTGGATCTGGGTCCAATGGCACAATCATTGCTTTATATCTGCTACAGCAAATTTTTCTAGATCCCAAAAAGCTATGGCCTCCAGATGTTGCTGATGTTGTTTCCCTGCACCCTTCACCATCATTCATGCTTCCTGGGACTGTTGAACACCGTAGCCCATCAACATGTAAATGCCATGGAGTACATTAGATATCTTAACCAAATTTGCATTATTCGCATTGGGGAAAAATGCCAACCAATTTAGAAACTGCCAAATTTAAAACAAATTTGTCTAGATGATTGGCCTCCAAGGAAATATTTAATTTGTATGAGAATGAGCTAATCATACTCCATATTCAGACTTACTTTACAATGTGGCGTGCATAAGATTTTGTACTCACTGATCCCAATATTGACTATAGCATCTAGTTCTAGGTACCACAGTTTAAAAAAGATTTAGATAAAACAGATTCAGAAAGGGAAATAAGAATTAGTAGCGGATTAGAAACCAAGTCTTGTTACAAAAGAAGATTTAGGAATTAGGAATGCTTAGCTGTGAAAAAGGAAGGGGCAGGAAGGTATGACATTCTTGTACCTGAAGGAATACTGTACCTGACTGAAAAGGACAAAACCGGCTCTCCATCATTCCAGAGTGCAAGATGCTCTATAATGATTTCAAATTAGTCAGATTATAATTGAACGGAAAGAAAAAAAATCCCCTTAATGTTAACTTTGGCATTTATTCATACTGGTAGAAGTGGGGATCTCCTCACTGTTCTGAGTATAAATGTAAGGTTTTATCAGCTTGAATTCAATTCATGAATTCAATTTTAATTATTAAAAGGCTTTATTATTTATTGCCCAGCCATAATCCCAATGAAATGAGTCGTTAATGGGGGGAGGGGATCACAGAAACTCATCATTTTTGTGAATTGCGGTATATGACTTTGAGGAGCCCTGCTATATATAACTTTCTACTGATCCTGCTGATTATGTTTCCCAACTTGACTATTTCAAAGGCCAGCTTCAAGCACCCTGATTGTCCCAAGGTGCTGAGATAGTTAGGAAAACTTACTCCTACAGTTGATCTTAACCAAAATGCTGAGAAGTGATGACACAAAGCCTGACATCCTTGCTAGGATCAAAGATCAATATCCTTAGCCAAGAGGACAGATTATAGGGAACAACCACAAAACGTTTTCCATACTCAAGACTTATATGACAGCTGCTGCACCGCAGGTGTTCCTGCAACAGTCACTTTCTTTCAAAATGCTGTGGAATCCTTCTAAAGGAAGTCCTTTACCTTCAAGAAATGCTTGAGGGGTTGAGGATGTTCAGCCATCTTCGTTCATCCAGTGTTGCTGCTTGAATGTTTGAGCCTTGTATTGTTTTCTACAAATGGTACTTTCCTTTGTATTCTAGTAGCTTATTTCCAGCACAATTTAGGCATATGTGTAACGTAGGACGGGTTCTTTCCTTGTAACTGAATTTCCTGACTGGCCGCTCACAGAGGGTCAGATTAGGTAATCATACCTCTTCAGCCCTTATTCTAAACACTACTCTTTTTGTGTATGACTGCATTCCCACTCACACTAGTAATACTATTACTAAATTTGCAGATGATAAAACAATGGTGGGACTCATCTCTGGGGGGGATGAGTCTGCCTATCAAGATGAAATGGACTGGTTGCTTTCATGGTGTGAAGACAATAACTTGGTCCTCAACACCAATAAGGCCAATGAGCTTATAGTGAACCATAGAAGGAACAGATCAGACATACAGCCCTTGCTTATCAATGGAGACCAAGTGGCCAGTTTTAAGTTTCTGGGTGTTACCATAAAAGAGGACCTGACCTGGGGTGCTCACATTGCAGCCCTGGTCAAAAGGGCCCAGCAGAGATTATACTACCTGAGACTTCTCAGAAAACAACAACTGAATGAAAAACTGCTGGTGACCTACTGCTGCACCATAGAGTATCTTATCTTACTGCACCTCTTTATGGTTTGCCAAT